CAATCTTATTTTAATTTTTATTCTTTGAATAGAGTTATGTCTAGTCATATAAGACCAGAGGTAGAAGGGGGAGTATTGTCACCCGAGAGGGGGCAAAATCTGAGCTAACTTTTCTAGAGGCATTTTTCCTCAGGAATCTGAATCTGGGAGGTAAAGTGCCAGGTCAGGGGGCGTTTTTGAGTTATTCAAGGTCAAAGGTCACGAAAGGTCAAATAACGCAAAAAACGTTAAAAATTGAGTATTTAACCAAAAAATGTGTACAAAATTCATTGATATCAACTAGAAATTGACAAAAGCCCATTAGTGTGAATCGGCACTATCTATAAGTCCCAATTCTTTGAGGTAATCCTGGTCAAAGGTCACGAAAGGTCATGACATTGTGAAGATGAAGTTTGTAATAGCTTGACATTGTGAAGATGTAGTTTGTAATAGCTTGACATTGTGAAGATGTAGTTTGTAATAGCTTGATATTGTGAAGATGAAGTTTTTAATAGCTTGACATTGTGAAGATGTAGTTTGTATTAGCTTGACATTGTGAAGATGTAGTTTGTAATAGCTTGATATTGTGAAGATGAAATTTGTAGGCCTAATAGCTTGACATTGTGAACATTACTATAAATTAAAATAACAATATGCTTTTATTTAGAACACCATCTATTTAGCTAATACGATTCTAGTCTTACCTGATCAAATAATTACATGTTCAAATACAAAATAGTAGGATTCAATTACAGCCTTATTATTTATCTTTTGATCAGCTTAAATCGAAATTTATGACAACAAATTCAAAGTTTCAAAACATTTTCAGGAGAATGATCCACTAAATCTAAAAATACAAGGCAACTCTCGGTTTTTATAATTTTAAGAAACTAACATCATTGGTATGATTTTTTACTCTACCTCTCGAATATTTTGAAATTCTACAAATGCGCCTTCAATTCCATGTGTGTCCAATTCAATTCTGTGTTTGAATGCCAAAATGATGACTCGTCATTTTAAGATTATACTCTGTGATATATAGAAAAGACATATATAGATAAAGTGAGTAAAACTCACAAGGTATTTTTGAAGGAAATATGCAATTTTCGTACATTTCTAGTACTTCTGAAGACTATTTGCATATTTTCAAGACTAAAATCAACCCTCTAAAATGGCACATCTGTCCCTTTAACCAAAACTGGAGGTATAAATCTAGAAATGCTGGAGACACTTTATATTACTATTACCATAGGATTGGAGATTTTTAAACTTTAAACAACAAACAGGGTGTTTTTCAGTTGTAAAGGGAAACTTTGGTGGATTGTTAACTGGTTTTCAGATTATATTTATTACTTTGTCCATTTTTCGGGTTGATAAAAACATGACGTAAGAGATTCGATTATATAATAACGCAATAAAGATTATTGAATTGTTCAGCATTTAAAATCAAAATGGATGGGAATGTAGAAGAGTTTGAATGTGCTGTATGTCTTGGACCATTCCAGGAACCTAAATTATTGGATTGTCATCATACATTTGTAGGAAGTGTCTGGGAGACCTGGCTAGTTCCAATTTGGCGGGTAGCTGCAACGCCATCAAATGTGTAACAAAATCAGCAAAATTCCTGATGGCGGGGTGAGAAAGTTTTCACAATTTTTATCTATATGCTCCATCAACGAGTTCAATAAACACAACAGATTACTCCTCCAAACATTTTAAGGAGGAGCTGAAATGTTTCTTTTCTTAATATCAAAGACTCTAAAGACGTCATTTTAGAAAATTACAAAGATCAGAAACGTAAACGTAAGTTAGAAGAATTGAAAACAGTGAAGAATATAGCCGAGGATTTGTTGAAGAAAATCAACGAATAACGACAAACAGCATTGAGTAGTTGCCAGGCAGAACTTCAGAAAAATTACGATCAAAATAAGAAGAAACTGAACACTACTCAGTAAAGCGAATACCCTGAAATCTCAGATAGAGGAAGATAGTCGACCTATGTTTTCTCCCCCCGTGTCTGACGTCCTTAGTACTAACTATATTGCTAGAATGTGGCGGCTGTCTGATTAGCCTATTATATCTCTACCCCCCCCGTGTCAAATAATGGTTGGACGAAAGATTTAATGATAAAGGGGTGAA